TTGCTGTTTTCTTTGATGACTTAAATCTTTTTATACACATGCATTTGATCCATAGAGAATGTGTAATTCTGTATTAACTTTCCTGCCACTGTTTATTCTCAGGAAACTGATGTGAGAGAACAGAGAAGTCCAAGTCATTTCAAGGAGTGATCGTTTATTCTTGTTTAGTTTTCAACTGTCTTTCCACTGCTGTTTACTCTAACACTTGCTGTGTGTACAAGACAGCTTAGGAGGCTTGTCTCCCTAATTTACTAATGAAGAAATTGTAACGTGGAGAGATTAAGGGATTTTGATCCAAGGACTGGAGCCCAGTCTCTGAACTCTTTAATTCAGCAGTGCGCTATATCTTGGAGATACAACAGTGTATGGGAGCTTCATGAGGGCAGGACTTTGTTTTACTCACTGCTATATCCCTAGCACCTAGAACCTAGGATCTGGTGCATAGTAGGTGCTCAATTAATTTGTTGATTAAATGAGTATGTATCTGTTAGAGTTGAGTCAAAGAAGCAGAACCACTAAGAGACAGATATGAAGGGATATGACCTTATGATTATTAGAGCTTCTTAAGAAGCAGTTTTTATAGGACTATATCACCTCTGTACCTGACGCTGGAGCTTGAAGCCCACAGAGCAGGCAGTCAGGAAGGAAAGAGGGATGTAGAGCTGGAAAGAGCAAGAACAAGTTGGAGCCTATGAGGACACACAAGTCCATGTTCATTCTTGTTGCCTCTGACCTTTGAGAGGTTTGTGGGTCCTGCAGAGGCTGGGTTCCTCACTGGAGCTAAACACACACAGCTCAGGAGTTGGAAGAGCAAAGGTGGATAAAGGGCAATTTGTGCGAGCTACAAAATGACTACTGCTTCATTTCCGCCCTCCAGGCCTCCCACAAGAATCTCCTTGTGCTTCACCCTCACCGGAAACACACAGAGAGGGGAATTCTGGGAAGTATAGTTCAGCTAAACCAAGTAGACAGATTACAAAGTCATCACAGTGTGAGAGAAAAGTCTCTGCTTCCAATGTCTGTAATCTAGTGAGCTATTCAGAGAGTGAAGCAGGTGATTATGACAGTGAGTTAAACACTGAGAGGAGAAGTATAAAGCCATAAGAAGCCCGTTTTTGTTTTCCACTTTTTGATTCAGTTTGGATACTTTCATAACATTTTTTTTTAATAAATAAATAAAAGAATCAAAACATGGTCCTGAATAGCAACACTTTCAATTATCAGGCAGGCTAGGTTGGCATCCTTGAGTGTCATGGTATTCTGTGGCTCCCACATTCCTTTTTAAGGACTAGCTACTGTTGAGTTATGGAAATAGCAAGTCAACCATTCATTATAGAATGGTAAATGAGAGTGGATAGACCATTTTAACTCATGACATCACAATCCCTGATTACTTCTAATGCCTCACCCTGCTTATGAGTGCAGTTCTCTCTGGGCATAGCCAGCCCATGTATGCACACTCTCCACTCTGCTGCTTTTCAGAAGAGTAGATGGAGTTGGTTGTCTACCAACGCCTCATTGTTATACCCTTTCTTTTAAAAAAAAAAAAACTTGTGATTTGGGTGAAAGTTTACAGAGCAAATTCATTTTCCATTCAGCAGTTCACACATATTTTGTTTCATGACATTGATTGCAATTCTCCACAATGCAATAGTTCTCTTCCCACTTCCTGTGGTTACCAGTGTCCTTTCCTGTGCATTCCTACCTTCTGAGCTTTCTCCCTGCAAAAATACTGCCCTTCCAATCTCCCCTGGCTGATTATTCTAATGATTGCACCTGCCTGGTATAATTATTCACTTCGTAGCCCTGTCTGTTGTTTGGCTGAAAGTTAAGCCATGTGTATGAGTTCAATTCCAGGCCGGAAGGGTGAGTAAGGGCCATAATCTCAGGGTTTCACCAGTGGCCATCTAACCAGTAAGCCTGGTCTTTTTTTGTGTGTGTGATAACTGAGTTTTGTTCCACATGTTTCTCACACTCTATCCAGGATCTCCGATTTTGATCCCTTTCCAAGTGGTTGGTATTGGTAGCCAGGCACCATCTAGTTCTTCTCATGGTCTACTAAGTCCCTTGGACTAATTGTTGCCCTGCGTTTTTTATTTCTTCACTCTTATTTGCTCT